GAAGGTCTTTAATTTTGCTTATTTTCGCACTAATATCTCAAAAAAAAAAAAAAATTTGTCATATTTTTATCTTTAAACTTCAAATATTAATTAATATATCTTGTCTCTGGTCTTGGTTTTTGTCCAAATGAGCTCTGTTAGCACAATAATATATTTTATCGATCTTTTATATTTGTTGTTTATTTTACTTATTTAAAGTTACGAGGGACAAATAAGTTTTTACTTCCTCTTAATGAATTTTTGACAAAGTCATTATGAACAAGACGTGTTAACTAATAGAAGATCAAGGATAGAAGATTGATGAAAATGTTGGAGACATAAGTGTGAAAATAAACAAAATTCGAGGACTTTCATTGCAATTGAAATGTAATGCAGTTAATAAATACGGTTGGGCGACTATAATTGTCCTAATTCAATTTTTAAGATGAACCGCATCCTTAGCAGCCCCTACCTGCCCTGCCCTGAGCCTTGGTGAAAGAAATAAATCACTGGTTATGCCTCCAAGGGTATAGGGTGAAAGGCTGCTTGTACACTTGCACTTACCCAATGCTCAAATCCATATTTCAGGATTCGAACCCTTGATACAATAGCCTCAAGCAAAGTTTGAGTTTTTTCATCTTCCCCTTTTACCACTTGGAGATGTGCCCTGGGGGCTCCTAATTCAATTTTTACTAGAGCTAGCTTCTATTTTTTAAAGAATTTATAAACGCTTTTATAAATAAATAAAAATGAGTGATCATTAATAAATAGATAGTACTTGTATATTAATTAAAATGTGTGGTTAAATTTTAGTGGAAGTTTTTATAAAAAGTACAAATTTATAAGCTTCTAGTTTTGCATGGCAGTAGATGATTGGATGAAAAAACTGACTGTATTTTAAACTGTCTAATAATAGAATATCATGTGACATTATGTCAAACTTTATGTCTATCTTGACGTTCATGTAGCATAATTGTTCATGTGGCAGTAAATGATTGGATAAAAAAGCTAACCACATTTTAAATTGTCAAATGATAGAAAAACATGTGAAATTATGTCAAACTTTATGTCAACTTTGATATCCATGTAGCATGATTGGTTTGTTTTGCACGATTATTTATCTATAATATATTAAATATCACATTAAGCGTGAATCATTTTTTGAACAGTTTTAATCTTATTACAATTTAATTATTTCAATAATGCTTTACTTTTCATTTTTCAATATGTAATAAATACTACAAAATCCTTGTTATGAATGAATTTCATATTAATAATTCTCAATTAATTAACATTTAC